TAAAAATATATTAGCATAGCCATAAGATTGCTGAATTTATTTTATATTCCATAATTTATTTCACCATGTATATTTCATGATTATTAATTTCAAAATGCAAGTAAATAATTTTCCAGAAACAATGCAGTTTTGAATATCTTTATAGCAAACATTTGCATGTGCTTTAATTATATTAAATTTCTAGAGGTGAAATGCTAGATCAGAAGCTTCAATATGTATTGTCAAATTGGAGAATTTGTTTCTCCAAACCCACAATAGTGAGATACTAATTTCAGAAGTATTTTAATTTGCAATTCTCTGGTAACTCATAATATATTTACCTGCTTTCTTTTTTCCTGTTCACATTCTTTATTTAGTTTTCTATATGGGGTATCCTTCATTTTCTTACTAATTATTATGAGTTTGTTATATTTTATGAGTTTGTTATATTTTAAGTGCTCCACCTTTTATCTTACTCAGTTCAGTATTTGTAATCAATCACTTAAATGAAAGAATTGAAGCACAGTGTTTGGATTTGTGATTGGCATTACATGGCATTACATGGGAAGGTATAATGTTAAATTTCAGGGAGATCTCCCATTGATGAGTCAAAATTAAGATAAACTTGGCTAGTAATCAAGATGTGCTTTGAATTTGTCTTAAAATAATATGCCTTGAGTAATAACAACAGTTACTAAATACCTGCTGTATTCCAATTAATATGCTAGCCTTTTTTTTCATATAAACTCCAATTTTCACAGCATATCTACAAAACGATGTTCATTAATAAATAAGAAATCTGAGACTGGAATGGTTTCGTTATATAAATTCAAGATGGCAGAGCCAGGATTCAAAATCATGTCATTTGTTCCTGTTGGCCATGCTCTTCACACTATGCCTTGGACATATACAACATTTGGGAAATAATGATTGTGAAAAGGGTCAGCAAGGCAATGTGAGGACCAGAAAGCAAATCCGTTTTCCATAACAAAGCTGGATAAGGGAAGTAATCAAACATTTTATTTTCTTTAGTTCAAATAGAAAATATTGCTTAAATGTCTGGCCACCACACTTTAAAAGGGTACCATTTTTGGATGTGGCCAGTGATGGAATGCTTGTGTAGCATGTGCAAGGCCCTGGGTTTCATCCCCCCCAAAAAAAAGAAAAAGGAAAAAAAAAGAAAAGGGCAATGGGATACCCTTTCATGTCCCTCATCATCAAGAAGTGGCTAAAGATGAGTGTTTGTGGAAAACACTTTGGAAAGCCAACCTCAAGTTGACCATCCCAGCAATATGGTATCTGCAAAATTTTGAAAACTCTAAATTCTTCTGTGGATTTGTTACTGCCCCAGTCTAGCTTCCATGTTTGCTTCATTAAGTTGTCTTTTTGATGTGGTTATATAAAATAGATTTAATTGGTATAGTTGGTTTTATTACATTGTTGACATTGAAAATGTTTCCTAACCATAACAGTAAAGATCATAAATAATAAAATATGTGACTTTTTGCTAACAGAAAAGGCAATCTATAATTTTTTAAAATAGAAATAAATCAATTTTGAGACTTAGAATATAGATCTAAGGATAGCTACTCTTTGAAACAGCTAATTTCAGATAAATTAAGTTTTCATTAATTGTGAATTGATGAACACTGAAATATCGAAGCAGACTGTGGGCATCTGCAGGCAGGCTTGAAGAGCACTGAGCTTCCACCTACAGTGTGGTTCCAGGGAGAACATGTGCAAGGCGCAGTAGCTACTCAGTTTGAGATCTGTTTTATTCGGCCTTTTTTTTTTTTTTAATTCTACTATGGAGGGTTTTTAAACATTTAACATGATTTTATGTGAACTAAAAGTTGGGGGTTCTCTCTGTAGGCTGCCAGAAGCCAGAGAATAGATAAGAGGGACAGCTGAAAAGGCTCAGCATGAAGATCTTTGCAGCAAATCCAGTTTTGTCCCTGTGGCAGCACATTTTGTTGGCATGAATTCGCCATTTCCTGGTGCCACAGCTTTCCTTTGCTTTTAAATATTTGTTTTCATTGGGTTCCTACTCACCAACCTGAAAAGGGTGTTCTGATGATTGGCTGACACTGTTATCCTGATGGACTGTCAACCAGCCATTAAATTAGCCAATCAGATTACTATGTTCTGCTTAAAAAATTGTCAAAAGAGACTAAAGGAAAGTTCATAAATTCAGCTTTTCTGTTACATAGGTTGGTTGGTTTAATTTTTTGGTGATGTTGGGAATTAAATCCAGGGCCTCACACATGCTAGGCAAGTGCACTGCCACTGAGCCACACCCTAACTCTCTGTTATATAGGTTTTTGTATCTTATTGATAATTTGTATTTGTTGGGATTATTTACCAACAGGGAAGAAGGAATTAATATATTTATCTGGGATTAAATGGATAACTATTTGTAGAGTGATAAAAATTTTTGGAGATTCTAGAGTAGTTTTATATTTATTGCTCACTAGCTTTTAACTGGGAGGGCAGAATAACTACCTGTGGCTATTTTTGATTTGGGCTGCATTTAAGTCAACTTTCTTAATTCCGTGAATTTCATATTTTGACTAGGGAGAAGCCAAACTGGAAATGCTTTGATCATTTCACATAACTCTTATAAAGCAAGGAAAACTTTTCTGTATAACAAGCATTTTACAGTTTGGATTATCACTTGAAATAATTTTTCTACATATCATAAAATCATTTATTACAAAAAGACATAAGAGCAATGTTGATATGCCAACTACTGCCGAATGGTATTTGCCACTGTCCTTAAACCACTCTGTTCATTCCCTTACAGTTCATATCTAAAACACTAAGCAAGCAAGTAGACTCTACCTTAATAATGAATCCTAGAAACCACCTCTTCTCACTACTTTTCACCCCAGTTAAAGTGTAGGGGTAAAGAACAAAAATTCTGGAATCAACTCTGGGTTTGAACTCTGGATCTGCTGCTTACTAGCCTTGAGCTTTTTAGCAAGTTAATCTTTGCCTCAGGTATCTCATCTATTAAAAATGAAGAAACAATAGTAACCAGTGTTCTCTGTCATATGTACAGGTTTTGAGCAGTGGCTGATTCATAGTGAGTACTTCATGAGTATTAGCAGTTATTGTCACCATTATCATCCTTAGTTATTACCACAGCCGAAATCTACTCTGCCATTTCATGTGACCTTTCTAATATAAACATCAGATCATGTAACTCCCTGCTGAAAAGCCTCTAGCATTTTTTATTTAACTCCACACAAATTCCCAAGTCCTCACCTAGTCTGTGTCCTTCTTGACTTGACTCTATGGGTCCTTGGCCTCATCCTCTGTCTTTCTCCCTCTAGACCTTTGTTCAAAAGGCCTTGTTCTTGATGGTACTCTTCGCTGCCCTGTGCTACGTGACCCTGATGGTTTTAATTGCTTTTTCCACTTTTTTCCTAGCACTATGTATAATTAGAGTATGAACTCCAGAAGGACAGGGCCTAGGACAGTGCCTGGGATCTAGTAGTTGCTGTATGCATTTGTTGAGTGTATAAACAAATGAAACAGAATTTCATTGCCACTTCTGATGCTTTTGTGCTTTTAAAAATATAAAACCAAGAGCTTATGTAAATACTGTCAATATAAATTCAGTTAAAACCATCAAAAGTTTCTCTACAAGTTTATGAAAATGGCATAGTAAAAGGTAACAGTGAAGTGGGATAAGATTGGCTTTTCTGAAATTGCTTTCCCATGTATAAAACACAGGCAGGACCACGTCTTGCTGGGGCCCTAGGGCTCTGAGGATTTGCCTCATCAAAGGAAGAAGAAAATGGGCATAACTGGGAGCCTGATGATAAATTGACAAGGTTTATGAACACCAAGACTTGAGCCTCATAAAAACAAAGACAGGGTCTGTGTGCTCACAACTATCAGGGCTGTTGCTCAGCACAGTGGCCATTGCAGAATGTATTAGTAGCTATCATTGGATTATTTTTTATTTCAAATGACAATACATTATTTTGTGATAACAGGTGAAAAACAAGTTGAAATTTTAGCAAATGGAGTCTGTTGTTTTTTCATGATGGTATTTATTGACTACCCCATAATAGATCAGCTTAAAACACTTCATACTAAAATGACCAGTTTATTCAACTCTTCTTCAATACCTCATGAATTTTCTATTAATTACTTAAAATATAAAACAAAACGTATGTGATACAATTTTCTTTTTTAAATTTTTTTCTATTTTTGCATTTAAAGTAAGACCTTTTTAGAACTTTACTTCTGGTTAGAGAATACTTTTTATCAGGAAATTATCCTAAGGAAGGTATTCAAGATATAATAATAACAATAATGTTGAGACAAGTTTGACACTACAGTAGGTCATCAGTTGAATTTTAAATTTGACAGATCTGCTTGGAGTTGATAGGGAAAGTTTTTCTGGTTTTGTTTTGTTTTTGTTTTTTTGTTTGTTTGTTTGTTTGTTTTGAAAGTATTTTTTAGTTGTAATTGGACACAATACCTTTATTTTATTTATTTTTATGTGATGCTGAGGATTGAACCCAGTGCCTTGCATGTGCTATGCAAGTGCTTTACCACTGAGCCACAACCCTATCCTGGGAAAGTTTTACTGAGATTTAGAAATAATTTTAGTTGAGATAGGTTAAAGTAATGTAATATTAAGATACTGAATTACTGACTCTGCAGGATTGTGTCAGGAATGGAAATAGAACATCAGCTTTGCATTCCTGGAAAAAGCATGTAACCATATGTCTGAAAAAAATACAGAAATCATGTTATACAATTGTGTGAATCTTGTCCACAAGGTTTCAAACTGTTCCTGCCTGTACATTGCCTAATAAGGTTTTGAGTTTTGGTATGTTTTAATATTGGTCTTTCCAGAAAAAGTACTTCTTGACAGTCATTAAAATTCCATGGTATAAAAATATGTATATATAAAAAACATGCAATTATTAATAATGTGTACTTAAATCAGATACTATTTACTCAGATATTTATTTTACTTATGAATTTATCTTTCCCTTTAGGTAAAGAGGATGAATATCCAAAGAAACCTTTGGGGCAGCTTCCACCTGAATGTCATTCTACTGGCATTAATCACCTGAGCAATGGACAAAGAAGTGTTGGTAGGCCCAGTCCCCATATAAGCAGCAGAAGAGAAAGTGGATCATCGCCTTCCAAAAAGCATGAGCACTCACCCCACCATCAGAGTAGAACTGGTACTCCAGAAAGAGTCAGGCAGCTCCGGCAGAAGTCCGTGGATGAGGATAGTAAAAATCTTAATGAGGCAGCTTTTCAAAGAAAACTTGCATCAGGTCCACAAGACAGTTCCGAGCAGTATAACCATGCAGCTGCTAACCAAAATAGCAATGCTACTTCAAATATCAGAAAGGAATTTATGCCCAAATGGAATAAACCCTCAGATACTTCAGCTATTGAAAGGACTGCCAAATATGCCATTGAAGGTAGATCGGTGCACCCTACACTTGGAGTCACCATCCCAAATTCTACTGATCCTCGGATATCAAACACAAGGCAAAAGATGAAGGTTTTGGATGCTGATGATGGGAAGCGAGGCTCCAATGCATCCCAGTATGATAACGTACCTGGGGGAGAGAATGAAAATGGAACTTCTGCTGAAGAAGCACTAGAAAGGGCTTACTCTCACAGTCCAAGGAACATTGTTTACTCTAACAGTCCACGAAAGCACGTTGAGCCAGGTTCTAGTCCATCAAAAGTATCCAACAAATTTACTTTTAAAGTACAGCCTCCAGGCTATACAAGACATCAATCCCAGTTAGAAGGGGAAGATCGAGGGACTGTGCACCCACCTTCCTATAGCAACCCCCCTGTTTACCACGGAAATTCTCCAAGACACATCCCCACTGCTAACAGCAGCTTTGTACCTCCACAGATCAGCCCTGGGACTCAAATTCATCCTTCCCGAAGACCTTTCGGTTCTACTCTGTCAGTTGATATTTCTCCAGAGAAATCTTTCAGCCGCCCAACACCTCTTGTACTACCATCCAGTCGAATAGAAGTCCTTCCTGTTGATATTGGTGCTGGGGGATACTCAGGCAATTCAGGGTCACCAAAGAATGGAAAATTCATTATTCCTCCAGTGGATTATTTGCCAGATAACAGAAAATGGTCAGAAATTAGTTATACATACAGACCTGAGATGCACGGACAATCATGGACCCGAGATGCTAACCCTAGCCACTTAAGCAATTTACCAAAATATTCAGCCTTTCAACATGTACCCTTTCAAGACCATAATCTCCCAGCAGTTTCAGTAGATAGTCCAGTGCGGTATAAAACTTCACCAGCTGTAGAAGATGCCAGTTCAGCTGGGTATCAGTATGCAGGGCCTTCACCTCCAGCATATCACTACAGAAAGCGGGAGGGGCTTTCTGTTCAAGAATCAGTATTGCTGTGAGAATATATGTATACTTGGCAAAAGACAAGAGAATAGAAACCATACGAAACCTGCATTGCTATGTTTGTAATTGCCAAAGCAGTATTTTATACTCTTGGAAACAACTCGCAGAATTCTGATGTATATTAGTAATAAGAATATGTAGAAGTTTTCATCCTCCATGTAGATGCTGCTTAAGATGAGCATTTTAAATTGCATCATCACTGAACCTGTTAAAGAATTTAACCTGGAAACATAGCAATAGCATTTAGGGGTACACGCACAATAATGATCCTTTACTCACTTTCATTTATATCTTTCTCCAAAAACTGAACATTTTTATTCTTTTGGCCCATTCTGTTTTAGCTAATGTAAGCAAACCACTGAGAAACCCTAGAACAGATTTTTTTTAAGGCTAAATATGTCTTTTAATAGGTATTATAGACACCTATACATACACATTTGAATACAGACCTGAAGAAAAAAAAAACTTTTTTAAAAATGAATTTTAATCTAGATCCATAGTATAATATGATATTTTTTTTCTTGTCTTTTAGTCTAGTTCTACCACCCTCCCCCCATGTTTTTAACCTGGGACCTAAACTGACAAAATTAGAGTTTTCTCTGACTTTGTTAATATAGTATTTCACAGAATGCTCATTGTTATCCTTCAATGGCTGCCATTTTCTTTCAATCTGAAAATTAAAGACATGGGAGAGAAAGGCTGACCACTTACTGGTGCTTAAAAATTGGAGCAGGTAGGTAAGTTTATGGCCAAAGGCACAGTGCTCCTTGTATCCATTTTCCCCAGATCATTCTTAAGTGCTTTTTTGCACCTGGCTCTGCTCTTTTTTTGCAATACTCAGAGCATACTGTTCCTTGCCAGATACCAGGAATGCTGTAGGAGAAGTTGCAACTTAGTGACCATGCAGCACTGGAGGAGCAAGGTGAAAGGCCTTTGAAGTTCATTTGAAAGAAGTATTAATAGTCTGGTTACTTCTTAATTCTGACTGTTAAATTCTTTCAGGGCCTCACCTTGAAGGGCCCAAGGCAGTTGTTTACATGATCATTTTCTGACATTTTCTTTAAAGAATGTAATCAATGGATATTGCTGCAATTATCAGGCCATTATGTTATTCATATTAAAATTGTAAAAAAGATGATTCTAACTATTAATAGGCATCTCAGATCTTGATCTTTTTAAAAAATATAGTGTGACTTTCAAACTTTCAAAACTATTTTTTCTTTTTCTGTGAAAAAAATTCAGGTTCATGGTTTAAAACAATCAGTGATATCTTTAAAAATATTCTATTACACTACAATTACCGAAAACTGACAAAATTTTGGGCACTCCAAGAAAATAGAACTTTGTTTTTAATTGGAGTACTTGTTTTCAACATTATTGTGCTCATATTAGAAAACAAAAAATTAGAAAGTCTAACATAGATGGCTCTTCCTGTTGCAAGTTGGGGTTTTAAGCTTTTGAGGTACAAAAGTGTGTCTTAAAATGCAAATAACATTTGTTTAGCTAGTGAATGTGACAATATTTTTATGTATATAATGAGTCTAATGTAATTTTAATCAACTTGGTAATGATGTTTTTAAATGGCAAAACAAATGCAGTGTATTAAAGCTGAACACTACACTGAAGCTCAAACTCTTGATAAAATAACAGGTTCTTGATTTAGATCATGTGGAAGCTGAGAAATAAATGTATATAAAAATGTGCTGAGGATAGTAATTCAAATTTTTAAACTATGATTCTGTGACTTGTAATGAACCAAGCTGTACAATTTAGTTTATGAGAGCATCCAAGCTGCTCATATATATATATATATATATCAACAGTGGTAAATACTGTAGAGTTTATATATATATGCAAAAATATATATATGCGCGCACACACACACACTATTTTCTTATGTCATCTATGACATTTTTTATCTGTATACTTTTTTGATGTGATTGTTTTTAACATGCTAAAAGTAATAAGTATTTTTTGTTTTGTGTCTTTTATGTGCATTTTTTTAATATGGCAAAAGTGCTGCATTCCTGATGCTTCTAAGGCTACTTTTCTAATTGAGTGATGTTGCCCAGTGTTCACCACATTAATTGTGTACGTTGCAGTTCTGTGTTTTATGTTTTATTAATTTCCAGTAAGACTGTATTTAGAATGACATCATCTTTCCCTTATTTAATGACATTACAATATTATTTCTAGTCTTCCCTCTTACCAAATGTAGCTATGTTCATTTTTTAAGCAGAATTTAATTTGAAATTATTTTGCCACTATACAGTTTTACTCTTTCAAATTTATTTTTTAATAAAAGTTAATGAAATGATGATAAAAAATGAAATAATATTGGCAAAGAGGGTCAAAATATTATGGAGATTTGTTTTTGTCTGTAATTGTATGCACATGGTGTATTTTGCCGTACATTACTCTCTTTGTGACAGTTGTGCCCAAAATAATAAGAATTTTGGTATTGTTTTTATTTTTATTTATTTATTTATGTGTGTATTATATTTAGTTTGAGAAGTTAAAGAAACTAGATCCAGGACCTCAAAGGGTTTTAAAAATTTGAATTCCTTTTTTTTAATAGGATTATTTAAAAATGGACAGCTTCTTAATGCAGATTCGAAGTATAAATGATAGAACATTTTTTGAAAGCATGCAAAGAGCTTCCTTCAGTCCATAGGACATTTTTTGGGGAAAAAAAAAGATGTAATTATTTTAACATTCCATTTAATTTTGAGGAGATTCTAACACTAAATTGTGTCTACTCAGTGTGACTTTAAGGTAGACTTGCATAGTTGTAATGGCTTCAAATTTCTTGGATCCTTTTATAATGTAAGCACAAAAACCATACCCAGTCAGTAGTTGGTTGAGATCTCTTTTCCTTTAACTTTTGTGATGAGAGAAAAACATGCCATGTCTACAAATACAGATTTATTCACAGAGGACCTCCAGCTTCCTCATCTGAAATCAGATTATTATTATTATACCTTTTAGAAACACACTTTTATTTTAGTATGCATTTGATGGTGTACATGCATCTTAATCTTATTAATTAATGATTATGATTTGAGTATTTGGGTGTTTTTGTTTGTTTGTTTTGTTTTTGCTTTAAATTGTCCTTTAGTAGATTTTAAATGTCTGTATATAAGGATAGTAATGCTTATTGGCCAAATAGAAGGGGTCAAACTTTACTTATTGGTTGGTTGGTTGGTTTTTGCCACTGACCCACGCTCCCACATTCCCAGGGCTTTTCTTTTTTCTTTTGAAACAGGGTCTTGCTAAATTGCCAAGGCTCGCTTCAAACTTGTGATCCCCATGCCTCAGCCCCAAGTCACTGAGAATATAGACGTGCGCCCCTGTGCCCAGCCAAACTTTACTTTTAAGATGACCCAAGCTTTTGAGAATAGGAGAAAGGAATCTCTGCAACATCTGTTGATACATTTTAGTTTCACAAGAACTTTAACTTATCCATAAATCTGACTGCCATCATCTTATAGGTGAGGCAACTGAGAAAGGAATAATTTCAGATTTCTTAAGAGTGGATTTTGACACTTGCTTCTCTTTAGAATTATCTGGTAAACTTTGGGATCCCATCCCAGACCACTAAAATCACACTATCTGGGTGGAATCCAGGCATCCGATAATACTTTTTTCCCCCTAAAACTTAAAAGTTTAATTATTAAGCTCTCTTTTAAAATCCCTCCAAAGATTCCCACTGTGAGCACAAAAATTAGTAACAGATTAACAGTTTGTCTTTAGAAATTCTGACATCAGGAAAGTTAGGAAAAACTCCACCAGAAAGATTAAGATTGCCAGCCATCTTTATAAATTCTGATGAACTGCTGCTGATTATAGTGTGGATCACTTCACATGAAAGGCAGTATGACCTTGTAACAATCTCATTTGCTATTTCTAACAGTCCTTCAAAACAGAGAGAGCTTTATAAAGATTTCCATTTTCCTAAACAACCTCTGACTCTCCCTTTCCTTAAATGACATGTTTTTAAAAGCTCAGCTATTTGGAAGCCTGAGCACTGAGAAAACACTGACTAGTTAGCCCTTCATTGGAGCAGTCAACATTTTATTGAGCATCTTCAAAAGTACCAGGGAACTGTGCTGAGTTCATTCTTCAAGATGTGAGACAGGTTTGTAATATTTGTTTCTTGATTCAGTGTGGAGATGTCCACAAGCTTCCAGTGGACACAAAAGGCCAAGAATGACCCCTCTCAAAAAGCTTAGGAAGCCCTTAGGTGAAGGAGTTGCCTCAGCTGAGCCTAAAAGGATTAGAATAGTAGACAGGAGGCAGTGAGAAAGGGGAAATTCTGCAGAGGGATGAAGGCAAGTGCAGCTGCATGAGCTGCATGGTATGTGTGTGAGGTTTTGCCCCTTGGATGTGTTTGTGGGGTGAGGTGGCAAAGGAGGGAGAAGTCCCACAAAGAGACCAGATGTGGAGGCCCTCATATGCTACTGAACCTGACCCTGGCGGGGTTTGCCATGCTTGTGTTTCTATTTATTCTGGTCCTTGAGGCTGTGGAGGCTAGGCAGATGTGAGGGAGTGAGTCTGGAGCTGGTTAGGAAGACAGGAGGAGTCCTTTATCTCCAAGTGCTACAGAGCTTAAGGCCAGGGAAGAAGCTGCGAAGAAACGGTGATTAATTTGAGAACTGATTACTAAATGAAATTGGCAAGACTTGACAATGGAATGAAAGCAATCCTAATAATCCTAGTAAGAAAAATAGTTAACATTGAATGCATATTATGTGTCTGGCGCTGTGTTAAGTATTTAATGTGTGTCAGCTTATTTAATTCTCACAATAACTCTATGTTGTGTGTATTACTATAATTCCCAGTTCACAGATGAGAAAACTAAGCACAAAGTTTAGGTAACTTTCCTCTAGTGACACAGCTGGTAAGTAATAGAGCCAGGACTTGAATCCCCAGCCTGTTTCCCTCCCTACCCCTGAACTGATATATAAGGAGGCATAAATTGCCTATCATAAAATTCACCCATTTCACTTTTATACTTAGAAGATTTTTTAGTAATTGTATCATTATCACAACTAATTTTAGAAAATTTTCATCACCTCAAAAAGATCTATTGTGCCTATTTGCAATTCAGGCCTGTTCTCATGCTCAGTGCTCAGGCAACTACTGATCACTTTCTGTCCTGATTTGCCCTTTCTGGATATTTTCTTGAAGTGAAATCAGACAATGGGGGTATTTTGCCTCTGGTTTCTTTTACTTAGCAATGTCTTTGAAGTTCATTCTTGTATCATGTATCAATAATTTGCCTTTTATTGCTGCATAGTATTCCATTGTGTAGCACTGACACCTTGTGCTTATTCATCAGTTGATAGACATTTGGATTATTTTCACATGTTGCTGTGACCATTTGTGTACACATTTTTATATGGACATTTGTTTTAACTTTTTTGAGAAACTTCCAGACTGTTTTCCAAAGCAGCTGTGCCATCTTGCATTTCTATCCACAATGGAGGCGGGTTCTGATTTCTTGTCAACACTTGTGATTATCTGAGTTTTAGTGAATGTGAAGTGATATCTCATGGCTTTGATGTACATTTCCCTGATAGCTAATGATGTTAAGCATCTTTTCATGTGCTTATGGGCCAATTGTATATCTTCCCTGGTGAAATGTCTGTTTAAATATTTTGCTTTCTTTTTAATTGAGTTTTCTTATTATTGAATAATAAGAGTTCTTAATATATTCTGGATATAAGTTCTTAATAGATGTGATTTGCAAATATTTTCTCCCAGCCTGTGATTTGTCTTCCATTTCTTACTGATGTCTTTAGAAATGAACATGTTTTTAATTTTAATGAAATCCAGTTTATTAGTTTCCTTGTATGAATTGTGCTCTTAGTGCTGTATATCTCTGCTTAACTTAAGGCCATAAAGATTTTTCTCCTGATGTATTCTGGAAGTTTCACAGTTTGAGCTCTTAAATTTCGGCTTCTGAGCCACTTTGAATTAGTTCTTTTTTTTTTTTTTTTAGTGCAGGGTAAGAGATTAATTCCAGGGGATGGTCAGTGATCTCAGCACATACGTTAAAAAAGAGACTGAGCCCTTGCCGCATTGCACCTCTGTTAGAAGTTAATTGAACATATATGTAAGAATTTTTAAGCTCTGAATCATGAAGTGTACATGCTCCCCTTTTGTGTGTTTTCATGTGAGCAGGGGTGGAAAAGTTAGCTGTTCTTACTAGGCTATTCTGAGTCCTTTGTATTTCTGTATAAATTTGAAGATCTGCTTATCAGTTTCTGCAGAAAAAGCTATTGAAGTTTTGGGAGGGATAATTTTGTATCTATATATAAATTTAGAAAGATGATCATCTTAACAACATTGAGTCTTCCAATCTATAATCATAGCTTCTGTCTCTCCATTTATTTTGAGTTTTTAAAATTTCTCTCAGGGTTTTGTGAATTCAGTATATGTCTTGCACAACTTTTGCTAAAACAGTTCCCATTCTCTGGTGAATGGCTTTGCTCTGAAACAGCATGCTCTGCTGTTAGGAGAGAGGAAGATTGGTTTTTGTAGTTCACAGGTTGAGTGAAAATGGGGGTAGGGTGGCCACCATCTGGTGAAAAGAGTTGAGGAGAAAGAGCGGTTTAGATTTAGTGCGAAAGCTACTTCTGACATGTAGAATTTGTGAATTGGAGATTGACAGATGGGGTTGTCTGACATGCATTTGGCTATTCTAGAGAGAGATTTGGGACTCACCTGCATGAAGGAAGTAGTTAGGAGAGTATTCACACTGGAAGAAGGCCAGCAGGCAAAGAGTGGGGAGAGCCTAGGGTATTGACCCACACTGCACTATGACTATTAAGTTACCAAGCAGGGATAATACTGCATAGCAGGGTTATCGTTGAAAAAGAGCTGCGGTGTTCCTGTGCGTTTGGCAGAGCAGGGTGCAGGTCATCAGATCTTCACAATAGGCTGTGTTTGCTACTCCAGCTGTGTGACCTCAGGTGAGTCCCTTACCAAGTCTCACTTTCCTAAGTTATAATGCATAGTCATTTAAGAGGTGCCACAGGAGAGGGGACAGTCATGGACTGATTCCACAACATAGGAGTGCCCAGTTATTAGAGTCAGACGACTTGGGTTTAGACTTTCCACTTGTGGCCAATCACTGTTCTACATCCTGTTGAAATCAAGTGATAAGATGCGTCCTTGTCCCTATGGAGCCTACATTCTGACCCAATTCTTCATCTATAGAATGAAGGTTGTAGTTTTTATTTCATAGTTATAAGGATTGAGTTAATTTGTATAAAGTGCTTGGCATAGTGTCGTCACACACCAAAAATCTGTGATATTATCTCATGCCACCATGGTGTTAGGTTTTAGTGACTGAGAGGAATCTGATCTTGTTTTCATTCATGGGGCTGAGAGTCCACTCAGGAGCACAGGAATAAAAGCAGTAAATAAGACATCATCGTGAAAGGGAAAGCGCAGTTGGCATGATTTGAAAAGATGGTGCTGTGGCTGGAGGAGCGAGTTCTTCAGTAAGGAGGAAATGATGGGCGGTGTAAGATGCAGCAGAAAGGCCAGTGATGTGGGACTGACACTTAGGAGCTCTTTGCTGTCATGGCGTCATTCTTAGAGCCACAGTCAGGTTGCAGTGGTTGCAGGCACAGAAGCTCTGGATGAGGAGAGATAGACAGTCACCCAAGAGTAGCTGGAGTGAAGGATGGATAAGTTAGGACAGGGAGGAAGGGTATGTTTTTATTTAAAACAGAATGCTAATTAGAAACCAATTTGACTTCAGAATTCTTAAGTACCTCTACAAGTCATCCCTTGGTTTTATTCCAGTTTGTGACTTCATGTGTTCCTAAGTATTAAAACACTAATTATTAAACTTTCTGTAATTCAGACTTGCCTTTATTTGGAGGGAAATTGGCATAATCTGAATATGAAGCAGGCAGCATGAAGAAAATCCTAGTTACTACCTGTGAGCATTGTTCACTTTGTAGAGCAGTTATTTAAATGTTGCTGCCACAAATAGTACATGAAGAGGAGATGTGACTTAGGAATAGCACATATGCAAAAATGAAAAAGTTTAACTTTGTCTTAAGCTAAATATGAGTTAGCAGTGAACTGCGGCCAGGAAAGCCAAGTCCATCTTAAATGTGTTAATAGGCTCTGCCAGAAATTCATGGTGTTCATCCGGGCCTGTCACTGAGCTCCTCTGAGACTTGGCTTCCTGATGTGCACACTCTGGAGGTAGGAGTAGGAATTTGAACAGAGTTCTGCTCCCAAGTCTGAGAGGTGGGTGTGCACACCCTAGACCTGTTTGTCTCCTCTTGCAGGGTACATATGGTGGCTTCAAGTGCTAGGAAAACCATGAGGAGGAGAGGTCAGGCATATGTCAGGGAGCAAACAGTTGGGCTGGGAAGGCAGACATCAGCCTTGTGGTTACCCACGTGCTTTGGCAAGGACCCAGAAGGAGGGTCATCCAGGGCCACAAATGCCTTTAGTAATAATTATCTCAAGCCTGAAGATGACTCTCATGAGAAAAGACCTGGTTTGAAGTGGTCTTGTGGGTGATGTCACCATCATAATGGGCAGAGTAAACTGCCTGGTAGCCATGAGAGATGAGGCCGTGCTCTGGTACAGTGAGGGAGCAAAGGAAGCAGAGCAGGAAATAATGACCTAAGTTCCTGAAGTTGCAAACATGACAACAGTTCTAAGCAGTAAGCCAGGTCTGCACACATGGATGATGCCATTAAGCAGAGTTATCTTCAAAAAGAAGCAACAAAGGTGCCCCTGTGCAGTTGTCAGTTTGGTAGAGTGGACTGGAGGCCATCAAAGCTACTGGGTTTGCCACTCATTAGCATGACTTTGGGCAAGTCACACTCTCTTGGTGGGCCTCGATTTCCTCGTCTACAAAGAGTGGTCTGGAGAGTTAGACAGGATAGTGGACAGTATCATAGTGGACCTCAGTCAAGGCTGAGAGTCAGAGTCACTTGGAGAGCTTCCAAAAGTGCTGCCCAGGCCTGTCCCAGACCAATTAAATCAGAATCTCTTGGAGTAGGGCCCAGGAATTAGGTTTGTCTTTGTTTTTTTTTAAGTTAAACATTGATGTAGCCCAACATTTCATGGTTCAGTAATCTAATCCTGAGAACCTAAATTGTTCTTGTAATCCAATTGCATAGGAATATGCTGCAAGAAATTGACACCTCAGGCTTGAAACCCTTGTTGAAAAACAGGGAATGACCTCCCTCTCTTACCAAGCAAAGTATCTTGGCCTGAAGAGAAAGAAAAGAGACGTGCCCTCCACCTCTCTCTACACACATTTATTTCTTAATTCTTCTAGGTTCCATATCTTTCTGTTACATCAGGGAACCACTCAAAATCATCCCAAGAGATTTTTACTAAAGAGTTTTTTAGTGCTATAATGGAAAGAACATAGGCTTGAAAACAAAGTTGGAGGTGAGTCCTAGCTTTTCCACCAACCTTGCTGGACATAGTCACATGAATAAAATGAGGATGCAAGGCCTTCCTGGCCAGGTTGTTGACAATGCCTGGAACCTAGGAGCTCAGCGAGGCTTCAGTGAGGAGGCAGGTGTTGATGTAGAGAAAGGGCTCATGCCATTCATGTTTAAAGAGCTTTCACTGGGCATGGTTGCACTTGCCTTTAATCCCAGCAACTCAGGAGACTGAGGGAGGAGGATTGCAAGTTCAAAGCCAGCCTCGTCAATTTAGGCACTAAGCAACTTAGCGAAACTCTGTCTCAGAAATAAAAAGGATTGGGGATGTGTCTCTGGTTAAGCACCCCTGGGTTCAATCCCCGGTTTTAAAAAGAAGGGGAGCTTTTTTCCCCTTTATGCTTGTAAAATATCCCCAGAAGGAATACATTCCAAGAAAATGTATAGATAAAGAAGCATAGAGTTATTCATTATGTTTCCTTCTCATTAATTAGAGAAATGGAAATCAACAGTGATTGGCAAAGGCAATTAACAAAAAGAATGTTGATCATGCCCCACTATGGAGAGGAAAATTGCACTCCAAAAATGTATTACTATATTAGTATCAGAATTTATATATTATCTTTGTTCTAGAAATACTACTTCCATGAAACAGAAATACAAGCATAAAAAGTACATGTAAAAGTGTTTATCACATCATTCTTTGTAATCGAGAAAAAGTGCCCATCAAGAAATGATAGGTTAAATAGTATATCCATATAAAAAATACTGTTCACCCTTTAAAAATAGGTAGGTAGCTTTTTATGTACTGATGGCGAAAGAGCTATCTATGATTTATTGCTAAGTGAAAAAAGCTACAAGACAGTGTCCCTATAATTCTTAGTTGGCTTTCCTGCTTCTGACTTTTGCCTTAGGCCATCCTTGAAGCATTATAGTGTCAGAGGTCATGAGTGGGCTGGAGATGGGATTTGCTAATCTTGAGCTTGAGAGCCATGGGCCATTAGGAGTGTGATGTGAAGTTCTGTTTGCACAGACTCTGAAGAGAATATGAGAACCGCTGGCCTGACACCTGGGACATGAGTATGAGCCACATTGAATCAAGCAGGTGAGCAGCAGCCAAGACCCTAACGATGGGACTGGATGTGTCCCAAGTAGCTGGGAAGGGGATGAAGTGAAGCAGAGCATGCTCTCCCCACCTGGGTCACAGGTGTTGCCAGAGCTTTTGAAATCTGGTCCTCAAGGAAGGGGCTGTCACTGCTGTTTCCTCCCCCTGAGCAGTATTGTCCTTTCCTTTACTGGGAG